ACAAACACACAACCAAACAACCAAACACCCAAACACCCAACCTCCAAGCACACAAGCACCCAACCACACAAGCACCCAACGACACAAGCACACAAGCACACAAGCATTCAAACACACAAACAGACAAACAGACAAACAAGCACACACGCGCACACGCGCGCGCACACACACACCCACACACACACACACACACACACACACACACACTCTCTCTCTCTCTCTCTGCCTGTCTCTGCCTGTCTCTGTCTGTATCTGTCTCTAAAAGCAAAGCACAAGTCGGGGGCGGCATCTGGGCGCTGAGGCCATGAGCTCAGCCCTTTGGGAACAAGCAAAGATAATGGCTGGGCCTGCGACGGCCGGGACGAGGATGCCGGGTGTGCCAGCAAAATCACCGGCTTTCGTCAGACGAAGGGCATGAATCGTTCCAATCTGAGACTTCAAGAAAAGCCTAGCCTAGTCTCACTCGTATACTTTCCCTTGTCATCTCATCTCTCGCTCATCGGTTAAGGCTTCCGATGTGAGCGCTGCGACTTCGACTACTGCGAGAAGTGCTACTTCCTGCGAACGGGCGCAAAGCTGTGCCTAAAAGGGTGACTTGCCTTGGTGTTCAGGTGGCTCACGGGCAATCTTGTAAACGCGTCAGCACGTTTCGGCTGCCCCTGCAGCAAGTGAGCGATGCAGGCACCCGCTCGTACCGCTGGGCCTCCTGGCTGGCAACTCATGTAGTTGCTCTTAGAGCGCTTCGTCCGTGTAGGTGCGCATCAGTGTCTGTTTTACATGGGCCAGTGACAAGGCACAACCAGGGACAACGGCTGGAGTTGCGACAACTCTCGCATGAGCATTGGATGCATGAGGGAGAACAAGACCAAAGGCATCAATCGATACCGAGACTCGGTAAGAACGGGCATGTCAATCTGAGATCTGATCTCTAGTGGCCCAAGGCTGCGAGCAGTGCGACTTCGACTTGTGCGATTTGTGCTTTCAGAGGCACATAGGTCATGTGAACAACAACATCGAGAACCTGAAGACCTCCTCGGTGGAACTTCACAGTGAAGGCTCTGACCCAGAGACCAACACAGTCTGGCTCTTTCATGGCACCAACGATGAGGCTGCGGAAAAAATTACCAAGGGCGATTTCTTGGTTGATAAAGCAGGATCCAACGCAGGCACCCTCTACGGAAGAGGTATCTACATGGCAGAAAGCTGTAGTAAGTCCGACGAGTACTCGAAAGAGAATTCAGAGGGACTTCGCTGCATGCTGATCTGCCGCGCGGTCCTCGGAAATGTGCTATATTGTGATGAGGTTGCACCAAACGTTGACAGTTTGGTTAGGCAGTGCCTCCACGGCAATTACCACAGCCTACTGGGAGATCGCGAGAAATGCCGCGGAACCTTCCGAGAGTTTATCGTCTACGATGACGATCAGGTGTACCCTGAGATAGCTGTGTGGTATGAAAGGCTGTACGAGAGCTGAAATTCTCTTTTTTTGCGGCCGAAGACCGGCCGCCTCAGGATTCAGCTCTCGGCCCCTGCAAGGGCGGCCCCGATTCCCCAAAAGCTGACTATCTGAGACACCCCCCAAAAAGTGCCGGACCTTGCCAGTGGGGGGCGGGGACCTTCCGGAGATGTGTGGGTTCATGGGAGCATGTCGGCTCTCGATATGCGGCTGCCGCTTGAGGGCAGGTGGTGTCGGGCCCAGGAGTTGCAACAGAAGCCAGAAAGAGAGCTGAAGCTCTCTGCTCTGCGGTGGGCTCTGCGCTTGCGCTGCTCTGCTCTGAGGTGTGGGGTCCTGGATGGCAGGGATCACCGGGATCCCGAATGCCCGGAGCCCCGGAGAGCTGGGTCCCGAAACACCTCTCTCCGGGGTTCACTCGTTTGTGCCTCGCGAGGCCAAAGCCATGGGAGGCTCGGCTCGGCCTTTGCTTTTCCCGACAACAAAGAATCAACCACACCCCCCCGACTTCGACGTTTCGTCAGGTGCGCCGCCTCCCTTCGCCCCACGAGGCGACGCCGGGGGGTGGCCCCGGCCGGTTCAAAGCGAGAAAGGGGGGCTGGGCGTCGTCGCAGGCCGCGCGCTGGCGCCGGCCAAGGCCTTGGCGATGGACTGCGTCGCGACGTGTCTCGTAAAAGACGATCGTAACCCCTATAGACCCTAACTCCTAAACCCTAAGAAGGGGCCCGGCCCGGACAGCTCCGCATCTCGCAGGACGAGACGCGGGCATCCGCCGGGCGAGAGCCTGGCCCTTGCAGCTTTGTCATGATGTGGTGTGAGGATTTTTCTGGCACATGCAGGCAAAGAGGAGTGCCGACAATGGACATCTTCGTCCAGTGCTCTCTGGGCTCTCTGTGCAATCTGCAACAATCCACACTTCGACGACTCTGAGAGGTACGAGAGATCCTGGAGCATACAGGTTGGTCCCGCCGCAGCTCTTTCCTGATCTTTGCTGCTCCTCCCGATCTCGGTGAAGAGGACGCGCTGGATCAGCACGCTGCGCTGGCGGAGCAGAGGGAGGTCTCAGCTTTTCCTGGGGCTCGGGCCTGGCTCTTGAAAATCTCCGAGGTCTTGACGGAGATCGGCCGAAATCGACTCCGCGTGCGGCAAACGCAGCTGTCTTTCGGTGAGCTCGAGGCCAGGGCAACCACCACAGCGCCGCCGAAGCGTTAGTTGCTGCGGAGCTGCTGCCCAGGTGGAGGAATCGCTGGAAGCAGCCCGATGCATCAGCACCCTTGATGCCGGAGACACTCAGAAAGTCATGCGCCTTGCAGGACGTTCGGCATCTGCGGCCTGTGTCATTTCCTGTCAAACTGGGTTCGTGCTGGGTTCCACAGGACGTGTTCGCGCAGCTGTGCGCGATCTGCGAACGGCAGCAAGGCTAAAGCAGCAAGAACAGGCACTAAAGCACAGTTCCTTCAGCGTGAGGGTCAGAGTGCTATTTATCGGCTTCTCGTGCGGTAGGTGATTGTGAACAAGCACCTGACGCAAGCTGACATCGAGATCGAGAAGAGTCGGCAGGAAATGACCTGCATGAAGGAGGCTGCGTCAGGGGAAGTCTCGAGAAGTCTCCTTCACGATCCAAAATTCCAAAGGTGATCGATGACAAATCGCTGCTGGTAGCCACGGATGACTCGCAACCCGCAGCGGCACTGCCTCTTGACGCGGAAGGTCGGCCACTGCAACAAAGGCCAGGGCACGGCGGGCACGGAACCTGCAGAGCAGTTTCTTGGAGCTGGGCAGGTATCGGTACTGCACGAACTGCAAGGTCGGGGGTCACGGCCAGAGGTGCGGAACAGTTGTGAAGAGAGCAAGCAAGGAAGTGTTCTGATGGTCAGGTTCTGCGAGTACCTGCTGGAGAGACCAGATTGGCGAGTCTATCCCAATCAGAAATGGTTTGAGGACCAGTCAAGCCTCCATGTCCTCGATTAAGCCTCAGAAGGCGGCATTGCACAAGCTAGTACAACACAAGCCGTCAGAGCGCGGCAGAGTAGGATGTGAGAGAATGCGTTGCATTCAGTGGCATCGTTCCATGTTGTTTGGTTGCGTAGGGTACTTCATGATTCGGCTATGTGTTGCTATCGCGTAACAGGCTCCCAGCCAACATGCTGCTATGGCATGCCGCATTATATCAGTCAGTGCACACTGCAGAGTGACATTGCATCTGTCGGCGTCGACTTGTGTGGCTTGAAGCAGGACGAGAAGGGCAATGAATATCATTGCCCACTGGGTAAAAAGCTCGTGGACTTTGCCGACGAGTCACACTTCAGCCGCATTGCGATGTGAGCTCCCAGATTCCATGGGGCACTCGGATGTGTCCCACAAACTTGCTTTGTGCGACTTCTGGCGGGGAGGTACCTCAAAGGCAGGGCGTGGCTGGAGGAGAAGACCAAGGCCCCCCGAGTCGGGCCCGAGTCGAATCGCCAGAGATCGCAGTGATCGCAGGTGCTGGAGCTGGCGCCGGGGAAGATGCCGGAGACGTGCCCTGACATCTCCTGTTGAGCTGGGGGCCGTGGGGGCCCTTTGCGGGGCATGGCTTTAGGTACATTCTCGAGAATGGCGCGTGGAGAGGCAGGGCAATCCAAAAACGCACTCCGAACACATCAGGATGAGGAGACACTTAAGCGGAGCTACTGTAGGGCGAGCTTTCGTTCGAGGCTCCCCGCCACCAGATTTGGAGGTCCGTCCCCTTCTTTTCTTGGCAGCTGCTCTTGGCCCCTGATGGCGCGCCCTAGGCCTCTGATGTCCCATGGTTCGTGAAGGAAGCGGACAGAAACTGGGGCACGGGCCGTAGAGCTGGAGCTGTTTTTTTGGGTCGGCTTTTTGGACCCACCGCTTTTTTGTGATGGTGTGCCGTAGGCACGTCGGTGCACGTGGTCGCCAAGCCTTCAGACTGTTTCAGCTTGGTGAAGCCGGCGGCTGAGAAAAAACGGGGGCGACCTGCAACTGCAAGAGCCATCAAGAGCCGTGTCCGGGTCTGAGGCCAGAAGGCGTCTACGTGGTTCAACCGCACATCAAGGAGCGCGCCCTTCTCTTCGTCCAGGCTATGTAAGCACGGCCCACGGCTCCTGGCACGGTGTCAGGATCCGCTCTTGACAGATGATGGCCGCAAGTGCCACATCAAGGTGAGGGCTTGGGGCTTTTGGCTGCACCAAGGGTCGTCATAGCCCCTGGCTAGTTCTACGTGCTGCTTGTGGGCTTCGAAGATGGAGTCCGGTGGCATCTGTACACATTTCAGGCAGGCCGCCAAGCCCTGGACCCTGATCGAATTGCTAAAAGTCTAATGGTCCTTTGTCGTTTCTGTCCAGGATGGCTACCTGTCCATCTCTCCGAACAAGTGGTCGCCCACTGATCTGTCAAAAGACACTCAGGCCTTCAGGGATCCGCACTTCTGAACTTCTCATCCGTCGCCATGGGGAGGTGACCATCATCCGCACCGAGCGGATTGGCGGCTGGAAGGCCACCTAGACACCCGGACCTTCAAAAGACCCCAAAGTCACAAAAACACAGCCTAATCGGCCTAATCAATCCGCAACCAGAAGAAGCTCCCAACCACCCCCCCCCCACCCCAAACAAAAGAAGGCTTTCCGAAGAGGTTTGTCTGTGTTTTGGGGCCAAATGCCAGGCCTGGGCCGATGCCTACCCGAAGTGCAAGGCCGTGGTCGCCGAGGCGGGGGGCCCTGCTGAAATATAGGCCCCTTTTTTTCCAAGCCCTATACTAACGGTCAGAGGCCCCAAAGGCCCTCAAAGGCTGCGCAGAGAGCCCTTTTTTCTAAAGCTCAAGGCGTCTATCTGGAAGTGTATCCCTAGCAAGGCCCCCCCTCTTAGAGGTCCAAAGCTCTCTCTTTCTTGGACCAGCGATCATTTCTCTCAGAACTTGAATCCGTGATCATGGTCGCGGCCGCCATGGCCCTTGCAAATGCCTCTGCGGGCTTGAGTCCAGTTCCACCCAGTTGGGCAAGACATGGAGAGCTCCCGACGGAGCAACCGGCATCGGACAATGCCCGGGGCAGGCTTGCAAAACGGCTCACACGGGAAGCGAGCAGGACCCATAATTTTGCAGTTTCCTGTTGTTCGGTGCTCGGCCTGGAGACGTCGAGAGGAGCTTTGCACGGATCAGCTGTTGTTAGCTCTTGCCTGTTCGAAAGAGACGGCAGCTTTTAGAATGCTCAAAGAGCAGTTTTTTGTAGCCAAAAGGCCGCTCTCGGGCTCGGCTCCTCCCTTAACGGGCCTTAACCGCGAGGTGATCCAGCGCGCCGTCGCCCTCGGCAAGCTCGAAGGCCCTCTGTGAAAGGAGACTGACGACTGCCGGATCAGATCTTCCGGGTAGTTATGGAGGCATTCAGAGACACCCTTTTGGGGGGCCTTCGCTCGCATCTCTTCTCATCGCGGAGAGGCCGGCTGAACAAGGTCCAATTTGAGATCTTCTCTGCGGACTTCATCGTGGACACGCGTGGAGGCATGGCAGCTCTTTTGCGGCGCGCAGTTGTGGGGTCCTGCCCCCCGCCGTGACCTTTCAGATGTGTGGCTCTTCGAGTTCAACATGAGCCCTGTGCTGAAAGACCCGAAGGATGCCCCGAAGGCCGACTCGAGGAGCCAGGCATACCTTGCCCGTTTCTTCGCCGCCTGCTCTCCCGCTTTCGAGGTGAATGACGCGGACATGGTGCGGGGTGCACTCTCTATCGTGCGGGATCCCAGCTACCCTAAACCCGTAAAACCCTAACCTCTCTGCGGGCAGCTCCAGTCCTCCCGGATCCAGCTCTCAGAGGTGGCTCCTTGGACCGGTGGAAGCCCTTCGCTCTGGGACTTTGCCGGGGAGTTCAAGGGACAGAAACCGCAGCCCAAGGCAAGGATCCGGTCCGGTCGGTCTGGGGTTTAGGGTATTTATATAGGGTTTAGGGTTTAGGGTATTTATAGGGTATTTATAGGGTATTTTTAGGGTATTTATAGGGTTTAGGGGTTTTGACAGGTTTAGTTCTCTTACCTCTTGAAGCTGAGAGCATGTCGGCACCAGCTTGCAGCGGAAGTGCAGGCACCCGCGACGGCCAAGGCCCGCCCCTCGTGGACACGCGAGATTTGGGATGTGGGCACGGGAAGGGCCTGCTAAACGCCTGTAATGAGCTGAGAAAGCTTGGTGCAAGGTCGCCCCACCCTCCGGGCGGTCCGGGCATGTTGCATGCAGGGCTGGAAGCTGCCCCGAATTTATGTGCTTTGCCAGGCCTGCGCCCGCAGCTCCGCCTTCGTGAGATTTTCGGGGTGCCATTCGCTGCCTGAGCTCACCGCAACTTTTGTGAGATAATGCCCATGATCCTTGACTGGATGCCCTTGGATCTGATCACGGAGACGGCTGCCTCGCGAGCAAAGTCTCCCATAGACTGTTTAGGCCTCATAAAGGCGATCTCGAGCTTCGCGCGAAAGAAACTGCCTTGTTGCAATGGCAGAAGACCAGGGCTTGTTTTGACATAGACCAGCTGGGTGGCGCTGCCGTGGATCTTTTGATCGCATCATGGTCAGCATGAGTTTTTGATGAATTTCAAGTTCAAGTTGCAGCACTAACAGCCTGCAGGAAATGCTCAGATCCACACAGGTTTGTTTTTCGGCTCATGTCAGAAATGATTTTCGTCTGTGATCTGATGGTAGATATTCCTGGGCCCTCCTTGCTTCCTCCAGTTTCGGGTTCACAAATACTGGAAGCAGTTGGCTGTCAGTTTCAAGCCGTGACTGCAACAAATGCCGACATGGAAGATGCTGCGGAAAAGTTTTGTGAAGAACTGGGCAAGACTCTCAATCCAAAAGAGCTACTGAACGGCTTGAAGACGGCATGGAGTCAACCGTCAGAGGCAGCATGGGCCAATGAGTTAAAGCAGCTACGCAACCGTTTCAGTGATGACGGTGACATACAACTTGCCATTGGGGAACAGCCGCACTGCATACTGTCTGGGTTGGAGCAAAGGTGTCTGCCCAACAATGAGATGGACGTTGTGGTGTTGAGGCGAATGAATTTGGAAAACAAACAGATGATACTGGTTGCAGTGGCTTGCGTCGAAGTCAAGATGAAAGGTGGTCTGTGTACCCATTTCAAAGACAAGCAAGACGTCAAGACTGCCACTGCTCAGGTTGCTCATCGTGTGGCCACAATTGTGGCCCCAGTGCTCCGTGAAGTTTGTGGGTTTGATGGCAAAATTGTTGCAGGTGCCATTGACATCAGGAGTTCGAACAGCGACAGAAACTTGGGGGCATACGGCGGCATACGTGTTGACGTGTCCTGAGCATGGCTTGGGGGAGCCTTTGCGGTTTCGTTTGCAAATGGCAGTGCGATCGGACTGATGGGAAATGTGGGGCTCACGACGCTGGCATTGCAGCATTGCTCCATGTACTCACCGAAGGTGTCAAGATTGCAAGACAACGACATGTGAAAATGACGAGACCCAAGTCCGACCATGGCTGGGCACCTGGGCGGCATGGCGCCAAGTTGGGAACCCCAATTACCCGCGTTGGGTGGAAATGCTCACAAGGCACATTTTGTGGGCCCACCAAGGCACTTACTGCGATCATTCATGAAAATGATTTCGCAAGGATCGCGGAAGCAGGTGATGACGCCTGTTGCTTGCCATACCAGGCAGTCCTGAAAATCATTTCCCCTTTGCACTGCCGATTGGTGAAACAAGGCATATTTCGCACGGCTTTATTTGCTATTTCAGAGTTGTGGTAAGAAGAGCAAGGGCTTTTGGCCAAGCTGGCTGATTGGTTTCGGAGTTTTGCTGTCGCAAAGCCCGTTCTCCCTGGTTTTTCCCTGCTGTCGTCTTCGTCAGAAAACGACCGGGTAAGCATCCTCGCAACGCCATACTTGAAGGGAGCCAAGCCGCTGGACTCATCGCCCACCAGTCAGAGGTTGAGCCGCATTCTTGACCTTTTAGAACGGCTTGCGGCTACTTCGGCTTGGTAATTTCCTTCAACTTTCGGATGATCCAAATGGCCACCTTGAGCTTGGAGATTATGATTCTTTTGTCATGATTTGGTCGGCACCTTATCGCATGCATGTGAGCGCGGATGGGCGCAGTGCACAGTACCCTGACGATTTACATGGGCTAGGAGAGACCCCAACGTCCTGTGTATGATGTATACCGTGTGGCAACTTGCCATGCTAGACTGGCCACGGCAACAAAAAGGGACGGATGAAGCGATTAAACAGTTTTTGTTTCAGAAGACTGGTTGCTTGTTCAAAGGAGCACTGGAGTTGCACGACAAGGTTTCGCAACAGGACGCAAGCTTTCAGTGGACATGGCCAGCTGTTGCTGATGCAGTGGAGGCGGCTGCTCAGTCAAACTGGGGCAAGGATACCGTTTTGGAGCCAGGTGTCTCACTAGAAGACGTTTAACATGACATACCTTCCAAGCTGAGGCACGTGCCCTTCTGCATACCTTCTCATGCCAAAGGCTTGAGAGCTGCAAAGAGTTGTCACATGGCAAGTGGATGTTGAAAAGAAGATTAAGCTTCGTTCATGACGGAGTGCAAATCTGCAAAGCCAACATCTATTGCAGGAAAGGATCCCAGAAGGAAAAGAACAGCAATCACGATACGACAACTTTCAATCCTATTTGAGAAGTCCTTATTTACGTCTTCAGCTATCTTTGTGAACACCTGCAGTTTTCATGTGGAGCAATTTGTCACAAGACATGTCCGGTCATGTGATTGAAAGTCTGATTGGCTTGTGCTGAAGCCATTTGGCTGGGAGGGTGGTGGGTAGCCTCCCGTGTACAAGAATCATGTGCGAACATACGGATTCTTTTGAGGTTTTTGCTGTGCCTGAATGACACTCTTGTGATGCATTTTGTCAGCCCAACCTGAAAGGTTGTGTAGATCGTGAGCTTGTGAGGCAGTTGTCCCCGCAGCTCCTGCGTTGCTTGCTTCCCCAGTTGGGTTGGGTCTGAGAGCTGCAAGGATGTAAGCTTCAGAGAGCTGCAAGGATGTAAGTTATTTCAGCGTAATTTGCAGACTCCCAGGCACGGAAAATGATAGGGCGCGTACAGTGCGCGCCTGACAGTAATCTTCTCAGCTGACAGCCCAAACTGCAAGTGCATTGCCCACGAGGGTCAAGGCAGCGAGATGCCGAGGCATCTAAAGCATCTCCCTTCTGCGTGTTTAGGTGAAGTTCCAAGTTTACCAGGGCCTCCCCGACACCACATACGCTGCGGCTTCTTTTCTGCATTCCCTTACTACTGGTTAGGTTAGTTGGACTGGAGCGGACGGGCTGGGGAAGGCTGTGGGCGCCGCGCGTTCGCGGGGGGACGCTCCAGTGGACGGGGGTGGGGAAGGCAGTGGGTGACGCGCATTGCAACATTACGTCATCACGCAGGCTTCTACTCTCCGAAATGCCTAGAGAGACCGGTTTGGTTTTTAGGGTTCACGGCTCGAGCGGCTCGAGACCTTGTTCTGCATTGCAGGGCTCAGATTTTCGCTTCTCAGAGGCTTCGCAAGCTGCCCTGCTGACCGTTTGGTTTCGGCTCAGGTCATTCCATGCGACTGTTCCCCAGCCCTACGGTAGCCATAAGCTGCCAGCAGTTGTGTGACAAGCAACAGAGTAATCCTCACTTCCTCTGCTTCTAGCGATGACTCGATGCTGAGACGGCCGAAGGCAAATCCTTTCCGTGCATGTTCGCCTTGGGGTTGTCTTTCCCCAGCCAAATGACTTCAGGATGGGTGCCTGCAGCTCCACTGGATGCGGCTGTGAGAAGCAGCTCGAATCATCCATGAGGGGAGTTGATGGGTATCTGGCAAGATGATAATCGTCCGGTATAGACTAAGCAGAACTCTCAGGGGGCCTCCACCGACGCTGAATATCGAGCCCGGAGATGCGAAGGCTGCCAGTCGCAGTCTGCAGTGGCTCGGGAACTGAAGTTCGCCAGTTTGGCCAGGGCAGCTCTCCACGTCCGTTGGACGCCGGAGGCGAGCTGCGGAGAATCAGATTCTCCAACGAGAGCGATTGCAGTGTGGGCCGGGCCGCGCACAAAAAACCGAGGCTCCGAGAAGACACCGGGTGGCCAAACGCTGAGCGGAGGGGCTGTCTACGTGGGAGCCTCAGCGGGGGCCTCCCTTTTTTGGTATATAGGGTCTCTGTCTGTCTCTCTGTCAGAACGGGGAGCGGCATATGCCATTGGCCCCCCCTCTGAGGAGGGCCAATGGCGAGGTGAGGACAAGCACGGCCAGGCCGAGCCCTTTTACTGGCTACTTTTGTCCTGGGGTTGGGGGGGGTTGGGGAGTCGTGGGGGCTTGGCACTGCCACTTTTTTGCGAGGGCAAGCTCATCTTCGCTGATGGCTCCATGTACGAGGGCCAGTTCGAGTCGGACCGAAAGCACGGCACCGGAAAGCCGGCGTCTTATAAGGGGCCGATAGGATGATGTGCGATCTGGAGCCTCGTTTGAGGTAGGTGCAAGTTGCTGCAAGGTACACCTATAGCAATGGCTCTACCTATGAGGGCCAGTGGAAGATGGAGGCGTCGCCATTTTTCGACACCTCCCAAGTAACACCCCCAAGTTTTCCTATCGATTTTTTTTGAGGTTCAGGATGGCCATGGGGTGGAGAAGCTCGTGGACGGCAGCATCTTCGAGGCGATCCTTTCTGGAGCCTGAGTCTTCTCTCCTTCGAAGACTGCGCAGGGCCAGTTCAAGAATGGCGACAAGTGTGGCAAAGGCAAGTTTACCTGGAACACGGGCGGCAGCTACGAGGCCGTTTTCGCCGCTGAGCATCGTGGTGTGCGCGCGGTTCTGCACTACAACAGTGCGCGGTTGCCAGGGAGACTTCGATGCCAACGACATGCACGGAGAGGGCCGCTACCAGTGGAGCGATGGGCGCTCCTACACCGGTCAGTGGCGTCGGCC